TTTGTTTGAGCTACCGACAGAATGACGTACTACATTATGCTTAGACTCCGTTGGGATATTCCTGTGGCAGTCAAATAGATCCAGGGAGCGTGTGGAGATCCAGGCCTTCATAGGGTGCTGAGTAATACCACAGACTAACTGCTCGGAAGAGATCATGGTCCTCTGTGAGAACGTCCAGTGTTCATCAATGTCTAGCGGAGGATCACAGGCAAGCGCATCGGCCAGGGAAGCTTGATAGCTCTAATGAACCAAGAGAGTAGATAATTTGTTTGCGTCCATCTTAAAGTGCTCCGTTTTCAGTGACCCTCCGAATGTCATGCAGATGTTCGAACAGAAATGTGACCCAGATTGGTCTACAATCTTTTCCCTTACGCCGCCATCTGAAACTGATTACAATATGCTCAATCTGAGACCATGGTTGAGACACGGAATGGGGTTGCCCAATAGCGGAACGTCTCCTCGAATACCCTAAGCTGGTGCTGGAGAAAAAGAAACGATTGTTTTCGCACAGTGGGAGAGATCCCCGTTATCTGAGCGGCTGTCATCCAGTGCATGGTAACCACCGAAATGACTTTCACAGGCTAATAAATGACCGACACGTGATTTGAGATTTCCAGCAAGTAAAGCAATATTGGATTTGCAAGCTCTGCTCAAGAGCTGGTGAAGTTCACGGTAGAAATTGTCCTTGACTGAGTCCGCTGGCTTGGCGAACAACCTCCTCGTTGTGCCAGCTGGGTGTTTAAGGATTTTCCCATGCCAGCAAATGGTTTGGCGGCAGTGTTACAGAGCGTGGTGGGTTTTCGCCTGGCAAGCGTTCTCCCTATAATAAACCACATATGTCCGTTTAACGACACTGTGACATGACTCGCAACTAAATAAATTCACTGCCCCTTGCTTCATCCTGCCGAAGCATTGTATTCCAGCAAATTATGCTGTAATTCTGGGGGACAAAGGAACAAACAAAAGGCGCATGAACTGAGCAATCAGTCACCGGCTTCCAATGGGCGCGATTCCCTGCATTCGCTCCGCTGCCTTGCGGACAGGCTATTCAGCCAAAAGCTCGTGGTGGTGTTCCCTAAGTCAATAACCTAGTCGACTTGGGCAACCGGGTAGTATCTCGCCCTCTGACGAAACCATGGACTTTTATGTGCTGTGTTGTGTTTTCTTTTACTATTTCTATACCTTTTTTGAGTCCCATTGTTTCTGATGGCTCTTGTCTATTCGTAGACTGTTGCAAAATATATAAATATACATTTGAAGCGTAGGCTGAAACTACAAAAAATTTGCGCCTCTCCTCACGATATCTTGATCTTGCATGCTCCCCGAAGCCGAAATGCACACGGTCAGTTATTAATCGGAAACCATTCCACCAGCGCGAGCCCGGCTTTGCTACTTAAAGCCACACCAACGCCAGTCAAACTTGTCGCAGCTGCTTCTTTGTCAGTAGACAGAAGAAGGTGAAATATGGCTCCGTGGTCGGTGGGAGACCTCATTTCAATCTCGCAAGCGCGTTTTGGATAGGTGCAAACCTTGTTGGCAACGGATCCCAAGGTGCGCGCAAGAACAGCCTGCTGCCTGACCTGCATGAATGTACATACGTTAAGAGATGTCCATACGGAACGAGGACTAAGGCCGAAGGAGGGCCACTGTACGAGCTCTGTGAGCGTCGACGGAACCATCGGAAGGAGAGTCGTGAAAACAAGAATCAGCTGGTAACGGATGACAGTGATTGATAGCCAGTGGACAGGTGATGTGGGAATAAGGTGAGCAAGTAGCAGAAGCCAACGCAACAGCATCATCATCATTATCATCACCATACACGTTAGCTAGAGGTGGGAAATACCTCAGCTACTGTGTTGTAAAACATAGAAGCAAAAAGGAGAAAATATGCCACTGGTTCAAGCCGGCTGAGCTACCGGTAACGGATGGGCATCGTTCCGGTAAGTTGCCTGCCGGCTACTATGCAGCAGGAAAAAAATTTACTATGCGAAATTATCTAAGGCTAAATAATGAGATCGTGGTTGGAGGGGTGGGACAAAGAAACTCACAGCACGAACGGCACTGAGGTCGGCTCCTAGCCATATCAGCAAGTGTGTCCAACCAAACGTGTTCATAGTCTTTCGGACCCCAACCAGGGAGCCGAGACGCTCCAACCCAGGCTAGCTCCGAAGTGAGGGCCTTCATTCCCCTGGACCAAGTCATCGCTTGGCCACCTCTCCTCTTCTTCCACCCACATCCCCGGTGAGCAAACAACGCACGTCGCGGGAGTCGGTGGGCTGGCATGCGTAACACGTAGTCGAGCCATCGGAGCCTGGTGCGTGAAATGAAGGTGCTGAGCCGCTCATTTCCTTTTCCTGTGCCACAAACAAGGCGTCGAACACGCTCGTTGCTCACGCGGCGTTCCCACCAGATGTGAACTAAATTATGAAAGCACCCAACACAACAGCGCGATATAGCAGATGAAGAATACATGCTTTTGTCAGTGGGCGAGATACTACCCGGTTACCTTGGCCGAAGTAGGGAGTTGTCTTAGGGGGCACCACCCCGATTCTTTGGCTAAACAGTCTGCTCACATGTCAGCGGAGCGAATTCAGGGAATCGCGCGCATTTGGAGCCGGTGACTTCTTTCTTTCGTTTAGTCGGTTGCCAAACAGGGGCCCAATCCTCCCGACGAAACAGGCACACTTACTGGAGTACATTGCTCCACTGAAGTGCAGCAAGAGGCAGTGACTTTATTTAGTGACGAGTCAGATCCGCCACGTCGCAATGTTGTCAAACAGACATTTGTGGTTTATATAAGGAAAATTCTTTCCAGAGAAAAACCCACCACGTCCTGGAACACTGTCACCGAACACTTCACCGGAACTGATTACACCCGAACCACCCAGCTGGCATCACGAGCATGTAGGTTCCAAGAACCTAGTTTTAGTTTCCGCCGTAAACGTGTCACGGCGTGACCTGTCTATCTTAACATCAAGAGACCGTTGTGTTGGCCACCGTCGCTGTTTGTCTTCACACGTGGATGTTCTCCCCATGTCGCGTGTTCGACTGGCTACATTAATAATCAATGGCGTGCCCAGTTAAGCCATAGACTGTAAATACAATTTTGTTTCCTCTGCAGTTATTGGCCCGATTCACACTCACCGTGTATATTTGTTCACCATTTGCCTGTCCTATTAAGTAGACCTTTCGTAGCCAAATTTTTTTATCTGCAGTTCTAGTGTAAAAATGTGCTGAAAATGTGCTCAGTCGGGTACATAAAGCTTATTTTGACTTGACTTATCATTAGGTACATGTCAACTGCGATATCTGCGCACTGACGCGGTACTCGGTTGCTATGGTCTACCAGGCTTGTTGAAGCAGTGTGGGTCAGTACCAAAGGGTTCGAGCCCTACCAAGAGTCCGATGGAATGCGCACTGCTGATGATTCCCGAAAGGATGAAACGCGCGTACAGTGCTTTTCCGGGCGTGTGGCGGCTGTCTGAGTGAGTCTAGATGTGACGAACTTCTACCTATAACATCCAACTCCCCCTACTACTCTTCTGTAACAGCACGCAGACCAAACTGCTAATAATGCCATAAGTTAATTGGCGGCTTAAGCTTGGTAAGCACGTCGCTTGGTGAGGGGGCTACCCTGTCCTCTGCACGGCAGTAACGTGTAAGTCAGTAGATAGTGAGCGGCGCTATATCACATCTAGTAACTTATTCACGATGGTCGTTGTCGTCTCCCGTAGCTCAGTGGTTTCAACCACGGACTGGCAACAGTCGAGTTGCGGGTTCGAGCCCTACCAAGGGTCCGATGGAATGCGCACTGCTGATGATTCCCGAAAGGATGAAACGCGCGTACAGTGCTTTTCCGGGCGTGTGGCGGCTGTCTGAGTGAGTCTAGATGTGACGAATTTCTACCTATAACATTCAACTCCCCCTACTACTCTTCTGCAATCAGTACCAAAGAGTTGATAGCATCCATGCACACTGGTGAAATCTAAATGCAGCGACAGTTTATCGTACATCGGAATTCAAAGGAACTTAAACTTAAACCGCTGGGAAAAGGCTGGCTTGCCGAACATCCTCCCCGTAGTGCCAGCTAGGTGGTTCGGGATTTTCCCATTCCAGCAAATGGTTTGGCGGCAGTGTTCCAGGACGTGGTGGGTTATCGTTTGGAAAGTATTCTCCCTATAAAAAACCACTTATGTCCGTTTTACAACATTGCGATGTGACGGATGTGACTCGTCACTAAATAGAGCCACTGCCCCTTGCTTCATCCTGGCGAAGCATTGCATTCCAGCAACTTAATGCTGTAATTTTGAGAAGCATTGGGCCCCTGTGTGACAAACGAAAGATGTATGAACTGAGCAATCAGTCACTGTCTCCCAATAGGCGCGACTCCCTGCATTCCCTCCGCTGCCTTACGGACAGGCTTTTCGGCCCAAGATTTTGGGTGGTGTCTCCTAAGTCAACACCGTACTTCGGCTTGGGCAACCGGGTAGTATCTCGCCCTCTCATGAAACCATGTACTCCGATGTGTTATGTGGTGTTTTCTTTTACGATTCTTGTACCTTCTTTTGAGTCCCATACTTTCTCATGCATCTATGTCTATTCGTAGGCAGTTGTTAATATATATATATATATATATATATATATATATATATATATATGTATATATAGGCGATTAAAAAGGCGTCATCCCGTCAATCAACTCTAGTCGAGAACTCATTTCTTTGGTAAAAACCGGTGGGGATTTAGCTACGTAGTGTAACAAGTACCTCATGAACGTTTGAATCCATGAATCTCCATGGATGACGCCATCTGAAACATGGGCGCTTGATAATGGCCTTAAGTTTCAAAATGTGAGCATGATTTTGTGAGCAATTTGTGAGCACTGGTTTTCTTCCCTTAGACAAGTAACTTTAAAGCAAGATTTCCTAGTGTAGCACGTCAGAGAATGACTCAAATTATCTTAACGGTCTGCATCAGAGTTCCAATCAAAGCGGAATTACCTGATTCCACGTGATGTTTCATGAGTAGATAAGTAGACTCTGCAAGATAGCGCAGCGCGCTCTGACGCTCCAGTTGCGATGTATCGTCATCCTGGATACCAGAGGGTGTCTGCGTTTGTGAACGCATGTGAAGCATCTCATAGTTCTTCTTTGCGATGGAATTGCATTGCTTCAAAAAGTGCCCGACGAATGATTGATATTCCGGTTCTCCACGAAACAAATTTGCTAAAGCCCAGTTGCGTCGATAAACCTCGTCGTAGTGAACAATCCTCGTGGCGTTTTCACGATGAATCAGGTGTGGTAACATCGCATTCAATTTCTCTGGATTCTCTGACAAGGGAATCATCAAGGCTGGCGTCATCGGTTCAGCTTCGCGAAGCGTATTCATCTGCCTTTTGACAAGTCCGGCTAACTCAGTGAATGTCTCATGATAACCGGTAGAAAGCAGATTGATACACAGTTTCTCATACGGACTGAAGCGACACCTGGAAGATCAAAAGTATACCTCTCAGTAGTGTTTGGAATTGGAGTGCTGCCATCGTGTAAACAATTTTTATAGGTTTCTATCAAACATGTGTCCTCAAAACAGGTCATGAAGTAGCTTCATGTCGCTGCGCTTGAGATAACACAATGAAGTAGGGCTAAGAATGATGTGTCTTTTCTCTCCATATCAACTTAGACGAAAATTTGTGGAAATGCATGGTGTCAGTGAACTCAACTTAACCTATCCAATCTTGTGGGACCCAGAGTCATGCCTAATGCCATCTGGACATTAACCTCAATATCAGCACCGGTTCTAGCTAGTGCCTAACAGCCACTGAAAGTGGTTGATCGGTTCGCTTACCTCGGTAGCTCTGCAACTTGTGGTGGTCACCTCACTGGTGAGGTTACTTTGCGCATCAGCAAGGCTCGTGTGGCTTTCCAAAGGCTAAATCATCTATGGAGCCGGCGGGATACCAACTTGTCAATGAAAGGTAGGGTGTGCAACGTTGCGGTAAGACAGATGTTAATTTATAGACTAGACACCTGGCCAGTTTTCAGTAAAGACTTTAACCGCTTGGCCGCGTTTGACCACTGATGCTTGCAGAGTATTGCTCAAATCTAACGAGAACACCGAGTGAACAATGCTGAGGTCCGCCAGTTGGTTTTTGGCAAGTAGCCTTCTCGTACCTCGCTTGAGCGTTTGTTAAATCTCAATTGCTTGTCTTAGCTGGACTAGGCCATGTTCTCCGTATGCCCGTTGATCGGCTTCCTTGGTGCGCATTATACGCCCTGGTTGCACTAAGTTTGGCGCAACTGCGAGGTGGCCAGACAATAAGGTGGTATAAAGACTTGAAAAATTGACTGAGAAAATTAGTCTGTGAATGGGGCTCTCCGGGCAGTCCACCTCAGCGGTTGGACACCGTATTAGACATGGCGCAGTCACGTAGCCAGTGGCGTTTTTGCATTTGGTTTCTTGCATCTTGTTGTTAATTTCCATTTCATTCTACTAAGCATAACGCATGTCTTTCTTGATTCTATTTTCTTTATCTTTTATACGTGTTAAAATTCATTTTCTTTCCGTTATTATTTATTAGTATCCTGGCGACGTGAGTCGCAAAATCTGGATCCACCCAACTACGCTGCCCGGATCATGGCAGTTATCCGCCCCGTAGCCTTAAAGATCGTAAGCCTTTTGTAATCTGGGGGCGCGGGTTCGAGTCTGCCTATGGACCGGGCGACCCACGCAGTATCCTTAGCCCGTGCGATCGGTGGTGTTTGCGCAGCAACGAATTCTAGGTACTTCATACAGGCGTACTACTGATACCTTTCGGTGTGGCTCTCTCCCATCTCTGCACTCTACGACCAAGGGTCTCCTCCTGGCTTGGATTCATCAGGTAGTGATAGCCGAGCTGGGAGTGGAACTCGGCGGCTATCGCCATAATCACTAGGCAATTGAGCTCCGCGATCAGTGCATGACACAGCGGTTAGAAGTTGCTTTTGGGTTTTGGAGCATCCGCCGTTTGTCTTGGATTGCGACACGCACTCTCATTTGTTAACTCGGTTGACTTTGAAGTTATAGGGGTCTGCCACCGTCCGCCATGGCTCAGTTCTATAAGCTGCAGACTAGTTGACGCACGCTGCTAGACCCCATAGATTCGGTTCTCTGAATAGGATCGATGGTTTACGCACAACTGACTAATCCCAAATAGGAAGAAACGGCAATCTATTGATTTCCCGGATTGGTGCTCAGACTACCTGACTTGTGAGCGAATGGGACGACTCAGTTAAGTACCGAAAACTTACTATCCAGTGTGCACACTTACATTGAATGATCAAAGTTTTTTTGCTTACCCTCGCTGTAGGCACAGGGTTGCGTTGACGTTGCCATGCTCTGTTTATGATCACCGCATTCGGACTGGCCTTCAAGTCACGGCAGTGCACTAATATATTCTTCCGTGGAAGACGGTAAACATTTTCAACGGCCATCCATTACAGGCAAAACAAATAGAAATCAGAAATGGCATCTTTGCGAGGACTTATCCGGCAAATTGGGGCGAATCGATTATAGTGGCAATATACAAGAAGAGCAGTCGCAAAGACTGTTCTAACCACAGAGGTATAAGCCTAACGCCGATTGTGACAAAACTACTGGCCTCGATTCTCGTTCGTCGCCTCACTGTGGAATGAGAATATCGGATAAGGGAAAAGCAAGCCGGTTTCCGCCCAGGGCGTGGCTGTACAGATCATATATTCACTCTGCCGCAGGTGCCAGAGCAGCACCACGCAGACCGACAGTAGCTGTGTTCCTCGACTTCAAGAGTGCGTTCAATTCAGTCGACCAATGCATTCTGTTCAAAATACTTGCGCGGAAAGATATTCCCACGAAATATGTGAACATCCTACGTGCTTTATAGTCGCTCCACAGGCCGCGTCAGGGTCTACGGTGACCTGTCGGATAGCTTCCGTCCACAAGTGGCCTTCGTCAGGGTTGTCCGAATTCCCCATTTTTGTTCACTTTCGTCGTGAACTTCACCATGGAGTGTTACCTTGCGGAATCTCACGATGTAGGCGTTGAACTGCTGGCTGCTGGCAGATTAGTTGATCTTGATTATGCGGACGATATGGTCTTGCTGTATAACGATTCGCGGCGGCACATTAAACCCTGAATAGCCTCCCTAGACTGGTTCCATTATTTGGTATGCGCTTCGCAGCTTCAAAGTGCAGTGTGTTACTGCAGAACCACCAACCACTTGATGACCCCTTGACCCTTTCTAACGAAGAACTCGAAGTGGTTGAGCAATTCACTTATCTTGGCAGCTGCATCAGCAACGATGGGCGCATAGAAACTGACGTGAGCTCACGCATTGCAAAGGCTAGAGCTGCCTTCTTGAACCTGCGGCATCTTTGGCGACAGAAGGGAGGTTTCACTCCGTCTGAAAGGCCAGTTTTACAAGGCCACGGTGAGGGCTTTCCTGCTTTATGGTAGTCATACTTGGCCCCTTCTGTCTGAAGCTCTGAGGCGCCTTCAGGTATTTGATCATCTTTGTTTGAGAAGCATTGTTGGTGTGGGTGGCACCAGCGTATCCGCAATGATGATATGCGTAGGTGAGTATTAGGTATTGTTACTCATGCTAGCTCCCTAGAACAGCAGATAGTACTGAATATTGCGTTGGCTCGGGGACGTGCTACGTTTGACTGGTCACCGCTTACGTAGAAGGGCTTTGTTTAGTCTGCCAGGTGTAGGGTGGCGCAAGGCTCCAGGTGGACAGAAGTTGACTTCGCAACGGGAAATGAAGACACTAACAACCAAACCGGGTATTGTTGGTCCGTCTCGCCTTCCGGGCTGGAGTCCACGTGACTCACCTTGTGCTTGGCTCGAGACTTTACAGGACATGGCTCGCAACCGACACCAGTGGCGCGTCTGCTGCCGTCTCCTAATCGGATTGCCTGTATAAATTGTGTTTGGTGCTGAGTTATCTGAGGAGTAATGGCTGATTGTGACGCGGGGCAGTGAAAGTCGCAAGGGAACTGTCTCGCCGATGCCGCTTATCTTTGCACGATAGCCAGCTGTTTGTGACGGTATGATGTTAACACAAGATGTAGACGCCTTGACTCTGAATGCTTGCTTAGAGTAGTAATCTTTTCAGGTAAGTCCCCCTTCTCTCTCTCTTTTCTTATTCTTTATTCCATAGGTCACCATGGTTGTATGGCAGCAAAGCATCAGTTCAAATGAACAATGAACAATGATATATTACAGGTACAAAAGCGATTGCTTTGCAAGTCACGTAGGATGGTTGAAGTGAAAGTAAACATCAGTGTAAATCGTCAGTTTAAGCTTCTAGTGAATTCAAGTGCCCCTTATTCATAGAAACGTTGTAGAATATGTACTGAATTGTTACTATAGAGTAATATGGGAAGTAATATGGGTAAGGCAGGTCTTAAGAACAAGAGAAACGATCAACGCATACTCGTGCGCTGCTTTCTTGACTGAGGTAAATTGATGAATGCAGTTGTAATATATCCGAAACTATATTCCACAACAGCAGTGTGTAAATAGGGAAGCAAATGGCTGATGTACTGGTGTTGCTGATTGATTAAGGACTATAAATCGACAACCAACGATAGCAGTACATCAGCCACTGCCGTACAACCATGGTGACCTATGGAATAAAGAATAATAAGAGGGAGAGAAGGGAGACTTACCTGAAAACTCTTATACCCTTAGCAAACATTCAGGGTCAAGGCGCCTACACATTGTGTTAACAACATACCGTCACAAATAGCTGGCTATCAAGCAAATGAAAGGCGGCATCAGCAAGACAGTCTCCTTGCGGCTTTCACTGCCTTGCGTCATAATCATTTATTATCCCGCAGATAACTCAGCACCAAACACAGTTTACACAGGCAATCCGATTAGGAGACGGCAGCAGACGCGCCACTGGTGTCGACTGCGAGCCATGTCCTGTATAGTCTCGAGCCAAGCACAAGGCGAGTCACGTGGACTCCAGCCCGGAAGCCGAGACGGACCGACGTCACCCAGTTTGGTCGTCAGTGACTTCATTTCATGCTGCCAAGTCAACTTCTATCTACCTCGAACCTTGCGCCACCCTACACCTGACAGACTGAACAAGGCCCTCCTAGGTAAGCGGTGACTAGGCATACGTAGCACGTGCCCGAGCCAACGCAACGTATTCAGTAATATCTGCTGTCCTAGGCAGCTAGCATGAGTAACAATACTTAGCACTCACCTACGCATATCATCATTGCGGACACGCTGGTTCCACCCGACACGAGCAATGTTTCGCAAACAAAGATGATCAAATACCTGAAGACGCCTCAGAGCTTCAGACCGAAGGGGCCAAGTCTGACTACCATAGAGCAGAAAAGCGCTCACCGTGGCCTTGTATACCTGGCCTTTCAGACGGAGTGAAACTCCCTTCTGTCGCCAAAGATGCCGCAGGTTCAAGAAGGCAGCTCTAGCCTTTGCAATGCGTGAGCTCACGTCAGTTTCTATGCGCCCATCGTTGCTGATGCAGCTGCCAAGATAAGTGAATTGCTCAACCACTTCGAGTTCTTCGTTAGAAAGGGTCAAGGGGTCATCAAGTGGTTGGTGGTTCTGCAGTAACACACTGCACTTTGAAGCTGCGAAGCGCATACCAAATAATGGAACCAGTCTAGGGAGGCTATTCAGGGTTTAATGTGCCGCCGCGAATCGTTATACAGCAAGACCATATCGTCCGCATAATCAAGATCAACTAATCTGCCAGCAGCCAGCAGTTCAACGCCTACATCGTGAGATTCCGCAAGGTAACACTCCATGGTGAAGTTCACGACGAAAGTGAACAAAAATGGGGAATTCGGACAACCCTGACGAAGGCCACTTGTGGACGGAAAGCTATCCGACAGGTCACCGTAGACCCTGACGCGGCCTGTGGAGCGACTATAGAGCACGTAGGATGTTCACATATTTCGTGGGAACATCTTTCCGCGCAAGTATTTTGAACAGAATGCATTGGTCGACTGAATCGAACGCACTCTTGAAGTCGAGGAACACAGCTACTGTCGGTCTGCGTGGTGCTGCTCTGGCACCTGCGGCAGAGTGAATATATGGTCTGTACAGCCACGCCCTAGACTACCGCTCTGTCAGCGACGTTACAGTTCTCTAGGAGTACTCTGTTCTTCAAATGCAAACCCCCTACCACGTGTCTCCAAATTGGTGTAATATCTCGGAAAATCGATCTTTTTTATTTTCTTAATAAAATGCGTATAGAGGAAAGGCGGTCATGATCTCAGGTCAGGTTTAATCTAGTTGAAAAGTTCAGTCGACGACGAAATTGGTCATGAGTGAAGTAATGGCACAGAGTGATGCCGAAACAGTCTCTGAGGGCTTTGTGCTTATTTGTTGAGGCAGTTAGCGGCTTGAAGCTGGATAGAGGTGTGACACAGTTTTTGATGTATATTCGCCTTTCACCAACGGCCCCCGTCGTTTCAGACCAGTTACGTTTCTGCAACGCGAATAGCTCTGGTGAATAGTGCAATGGGTTCAGAACAGATCAGCTTGAATCAGAATGGAGAAAGCGCGACGATGAATACTGAGAAGATTGACACCAATTTCGCTGGTGATTGTTGCGCAGATTGTCTTGATGTCAATCCACAAGCTCCTTTGTATGGGTGGACTCGGATACGACACCGTGCCGTACATCTTCCCACTTGGTTATTGGTACACTTATTCCATACGTCAGATCGTTGCTCGACCTAGCAGATACATCTCAATCCTTACTCAAGTCCTAAGTCTTTGTTGACATTCACAGTTCCTTTCTAGGCATTTGCATGTTTGCTTGCGCATATTGTCGAGTTGCCATCGAAGAGTCAAAACAGAGCCTGAATGGCACTCAAAGTATATGCATAGGATCATCGAAGTTGCCCAAAAATTTGAAGCGCAATTCAAATATGACGGCCTCTACCTATCTTTTATCTTTATCACGTATTATGTTCATTGGCACGCACTCGCCGCTGCCATCGGTCCACCCGACTTTTGCGGTGGAGCATGTTAAACGAGGTCGCATCAACTCTTTACTGTCCGCTTGGCCCCTGCGATTGCGGTCAGCTCATTTGGACGACACTCGAGTAGATTTCTGTCCAACAGGTGCCCGCCACCTCTATTCGCCTGCGTGGTCCAACCCCCATTCCTCATGATGTCATCATGCCGGGTTCGCACTGGTGCATGAGCTTTGTCCGGGGCAACCCGTTTCCCCTTTTCCTGTAAGTAAGCTGTGTCGTAATTCAAACACACGCTAGGTATTGTAAAATCCAATCATGAACTACTAGCCGCTGTTTCAAACGCTACTGGCTTTGCTCAATGATAAAGGTATAAACTATCGGGTTCCATTCTCATTTCAGGTTTTCGCTGCTTGAAATGCCTAGACAGGGACGAAATCATCGGTCGCAGAGTGAAGCGTTAGGAGAAAGCACCTCCGAAGCACTCCACTTCCCAGTGATCTAAATAGCAGATGTCTTCTTCAAAGCAAACAGTAGCCTCAATCCGGATTGAGTGCTTCAACCCTGACACACTGTACAAACTATGCAGATTTGATGAACTCACATTGATGGTCTCTTGAACAACCGTTCTGAGATTGACTAGCCTGAAGCAGTACGATGTGAAAGTGACTCTGGCGGACACGCCGACACTGCATGAGACGCAGAGAGCACTTGCTCAGCTTCGAAACGGCAAGTGTGCGGATGCGGACGGGGTCCTGCCTGAAGTATTGAAACATGGTGGACCCGCGTTGGTGACTGCGCTGCGCCACTTGATGAGATGCATGTGGATTGAGGAGGAGATGCCTCCTGAGCTGAAGGATGCCCTTGTGCTAGCACTGTACAAGAGCAAAGGGAACAATCAATGTTTCACGAATTATCGTGGTATCAACTTGCTGAGTTGTGCGGCCAGGGTGATTGTCCGAATTCTGCTCAACCGCCTCGTCGGTCAGATTGAGAAACCGAACGTGGCGGAAGAGCAATGTGGATTCCGTTCGGGTCATAGCACTATATATATGGTGTTGCGGCTCGTCGGTTGCAGGAGAAGTGCAGAGAACGACAACAGCCGTTGTACTGGCTGTTTGTTGATCCCACCAAAACATTTGATACGGTGAACTGCGGGAACTCCAGTTTGTGAGACAACTATCCGTATGCTGCTGTTCGCTCATGACTGTGCTTGTTTGCACATAGCACCGATCAGTTGCAGCACATGACTAGTACTCTGGCTTTGACAGCAACTCGCCATCAACACAAGCAAAACTGTCTGTCTTTTTCAGCCTTCATCAGAGGTGCAGTCTGAAATATTGCCATAAATCAGCATTGGTGACGAAGTATTGGAACGCGCCACCCACTTCTGCTATCTTGGGAGTGTGGTTTCGACTGACCAGCAGATACTCAGTGAGCCGCGTATCGAAGGCAGGGGCCGCATTCGGGAAACTTGAGTACCGAGTGTGAGACAACCATCAGCTTACCGTTGGCACGAAGCTGACGATGTACAAATCCATGGTGTTGTCCGTTCTTCTATACGGCAGCGAAACGTAGACAATGTCGCGGCGAGATGTGAGAAATATTGAGCGGTTTCAGTAACAGTGTCTGCGAAGGATTCTGCGCATCGGTTGGTGGGACAGAGTTGCGGACACTGAAGTGTTGCGAAGAGGTGGAATGTATGCAGTGGACTGCATACTTTTGAGGAGGCACTTGAGGTGGCTCGGTCATGTGTGGCTTATGGATTCGACGCGGATACCGAGACAGCTGCTGGATGGCCAACTGAGTGCAGGGAAGCGGCGTGTGAACAAACCGACTTTATGTTACCAGGATATGGTCAAAGTGAGCCTATCACGTTCTAGTATTGATTGCAGGTCATGGAAATCGAAGGCGGTTGATCGGTGTGCATGACGCGATCTGATCACGGTGGCATGTGCCGATGTGCAAGCGAAAGCCCTCGTGCATGCGAAAAAGAAGCGGCAGTCGCGGAAGCGACAGGCGCTGGTGGGCTGTACTCCATCGACGTCGGAGGCGTGGTATTGTAGCACATGCAGTCGCTAGTGCCTGAGTCAGGCAGGCCTAGTGAGCCATGAGCGAGGCCGCTCGTGATCACAACCCAGAACGGCGACGGGTCCTGCAGAGAACGTAAGCAAAACCGGCATAACGCTGGTAGGTACGCTGCACCCGATTTACTAATGGTGTGCTTGCGTGCTGGGTTTCTTTATTTCAGGTGGTAGGTTTGCTATCTTGTCTTAATGCCTATTTTCTTACCTCATTTTAATGTCTGCCTAAATAATCTATTAAATTGCAAAGGTCAATTAAACGAAAGTTGCTTAACTTTGTTTATTTTCGCCATTCTGCTAATGCTTTTTAGTTTATTTATTTGCCATTTTCAATGCATCGGGGCTACGTTGATAGTCCATTTGTAACATGTGCCAATTTATCGGTATATCCGTATGGTGTTTTCTACCTACACACACTGAACTGGGGCTTGCCAGCCCCGGTCTGGTTGAGCTTGATTTACATCTTGACACGGGTGCCTACCTGTCTCTTAGCCACCACTTAGTTTATACTGGATCTAGGAGACAGTTGATCGTTGCTGGAGAGGATGGGTGCATGGTCCTTGTGGCTGTGCCTGGCTCGAAGTGTGGTTCTATGCACATGGCATTTTGTGTGGACGGACTACGGTCCAGCCACCGCCTTGTGTGCGATAGTTTCCCAAATACTGCGTGCTTGTGTTTGCCTGTGAAGGAGTGTGGCTTCCATGCACATGCCTCCCGGTCTTATTCCTTCGGGTTTCCACTGGATATTGGGTGTGTGAATGAAGCTGTGGGTGATGCAGCGCAAGCCACCCATGGTCCCTTTGTAGGCGCAGGCGCCCTGTGGCTGTCCCCGAGGAGGCTACCATGACAGGGAAATCCGGAACCGGATACCGCCAACCATGGTACAGGTAGTATGCCCACTTTTCAGTGAGATAACAGTTAAGTCTATCTGTTGAAATCACAAAGTTTTCTATTTGTGCATGATAGATCATGTGTGGTTCTTATTTATAATACCTAGAAATGAGCGTATAAACTAACGGAGTAGTCATTTAGAGAAATCTAAACAGGTTAAAAGAAAAAACGCGAAAACTACGTTGCACCTACCATTTTATATCTGGTATCTCAAGAGCTCTTGCACATGTATTTGGGTTATTCGAACATAATTTTCCTGCACAATTGTTGCCGTCTCGAGCTGTTATCTTCATAGCTTTTACTTGCGGATAAATTGCGTTTGGTCTAGATAGTCGTATTTCGCTTTCCACAGTGACGATCAATCCATGGGTAATAGGTATTCTTCAATAATCATCTAGATGTAAAACGATAAGCGAAAGTAACTGACACTCTTTGCAAATATCTAAAAGCATATCAGGCACCAAAAACACAGATCCAGTGAGACGTATCCGCATCAGGACAAGAAAAATGCATCTGTTGGCTTGTGCATAACAGAGCAGTCCAGAAGCACTAGGTATCACCGATAAATCGGCAGTGGATTCAAGTAACGCGTAAGACACCATGATTAAATCAGAACTCAAGGCCAGAAGTGCGCTACAGTGCTATTTTTACAAAGGGTTAGGACAACAAATTATGTACTGACCTCCTCCAGAGCTCTGTTCGCAAATTAAAATCTGACGTCGAACAAGACAAAATGCCGGCAACAGTTAACTGACGTCCAACCAGTTACACAACAGACTAAACCATTCAATCAGACGCGATTTATAGTAAAACGATCGATGGTCCATTCAAGCCAGCTGTAAAAATATCAGCGGATGAGAGTCTGGGGCAGCGAAACAAAGGAATAGGAACGGGACTTGTGGCCTGTTTCGGTGGAATGCGACAGACTGTGGTTGGTCGGTTACACTCCCTCACCAAATTCCTTCCGGCAATTTCTCATTGCGTGACTGTTCTCCCTCTATAGTTTCCTTGTCCTACCCGTCTCAGCTATACACTCAATTGCTTCCTTACCTCCTTGATTACCCTCGAGGGAGCAAATTTTCTGGATCTTTCTCGTAATTAAACCATCCTTTGTTTTTACAATCACAGTTCTGACCAACTCATTGTCTGAGGTCACAGAGTCCTCAATAACTCCGAGGGGCCGTGTCCTCGTGGTAGCGCCTCAGATGTAACCAAAACATCATCCTTGGGTTTATAGTTTCGTTCTGCTTTTGGGCATTTTTTCTTATATCTAACAGCGGGTAAGTATTAGTTAGTCCACCTCTTCCAGAATATTGATGCCAAGTAGTTCACCTGTTTTCAGCGTTGCGTATAACTACCTTGTAATCTCGGCGATATCTACTGGTCTGCATTCGACCGCAACAATAACAGGTCATTTGGAGTGATAGTTGGTCAGTTATCAAGACCAAGATGAACAACATAACCATGAGGCAAAAACCCGCCAAAGTTAGGCGCCAGAGAAGCCCACCGAACATCAAGTTAACCGCTTTAAGACCATTTATTGTGGGCTTGAGACATTTCTGTCCGTTTGCTTGCTTTCGTTTTTTCTTTCTCAATTCCAGTGTAAACAGCTCACTTTGTAAAATGCCTTTTCCTTGAATAGATACATGTCCCCTGAAGCGCTGACATAGTGGAATTCCGTAGTTCTTCCCTTGGCAGATCTTCGAGATGCTTAGGCTTTTCCGTGAAACAATCCTTCCATTTGAGTCTGTCGTCGAGGATATTTCGTCTCTGTGTGGTGGCTGTTTGTGAGATGAGAAGTGGGAGGCCGTCGGGATGGAAACAACTTTCTCTTCGTCGTATTTATTCCTCACGGGCCTTGGAACGTTAAACTTATCATGCAGGACAACTTCATCTAATCCATCCGGTGCTGTTGGTGTAGTTTCTTCGACGGATAGCGCGCGGTCTTCAGAACCAACGCTGGCAAACTCGCTGTCATATAGCGATGTAAGTTGATCCTCCAGGGATTGTGGATCACACCGAGCATGATTGACCTAGACAAATGAATTTCTGCCAAATTCTACTAACCCAATCAATGTCCATCCAAGTGGGTCTCTTACTGCAAATGGCTGATTCCTCCCACCGAAGCGTTGTTCTAGGTTCCAATGGGCCGCAGGTACATCAGCTCCAATTAAAATTCGCACACGGTTATCTCGGATCTCACTAAATTGTATACCCTTGAGATGAGGCCAGTGCCAAACTACAGTTTTAGTAAGAACTTTGACTGGTTGTAACTTCAAATTCTTATGCAATAGGCATGAGAAACATGGATCACATCATCACCACTCAATGAGCTCAACTGGATACTAACAGAGCTTGCGTCAAGTAACGAGGTACCAGCCAACGTCCTAATTTCTAACCATCCAGGCGTAAACGCTATTCCAACTTCACGCAATAAATCTTCCTGTACCGGGTTTACATCCTACCCACTATCCAGCAACGCATAAGTTTCAATGAATTTCAGAGAACCCTGTAAATGCACAGGTACTATGCCCAGCTTTATTTCCTTTCTTGAACAAGAAGCAGTACAACAGCTACACGTTTTTAGCATCGGGTCCTCATTGCGCTGCAGGTGTAGTAGTGAGTGATGACGACCCGTGTAACCCAAGTGGTTACACCTGTCATCCGATGTACATGAAGCAGCCAAGTGACCATTGCCGAGATATTTATAACATCCTTTCTTCTGTTTCATTAATTCCTATCAGGCACCCTGGAAGCTAAAAATTCTCGGCACATCGCAGTACCGTGTTGGCCATCACAAACAAGACAAGCTGAATTCGGTTCCACTCTGAATTTAGCACACCGATTGATGTTAGACTTATTCCTACTGCGTACCGGGACCACGGGAACAAGACGGGCCTAACTCAGACATTGATGCTATCTGTCCGAATCTACTGTCCATAATGCGGCTTTCAGAAGAGATGAACTCAGACAGGTCTTTGAACGTGATTTTTCTTTTTACAGAATGATATCGGCCGTGCGCACCCATCTTGTTTTCATACTCGTAGGCAAGATGCGTACAATTCTTTCGACAGTTGCAAGGGAATCTATGTAAGCGAGAAACCCAATCTGGTTCAACGCTATGTGACAATTCTAAATCTTTAGGGAGAGACGGGTAATGTCTTTGACTTCTTGGGCAAGCGGTCTTTGATCCGTTAGTAATCCAAGAATAATTGATAGGGCCACCACATGATTCTGACCAAATAAATCCCGAAGGTTCGTTCTAGCTCAAATGTAAGCCTAGTCAGGAGGCAACATAACACACTTGCTGCTAACTTCTTTCGCCCAATTTCGACAGTAGTACAACCAATGTAGGAGTCGTGGCCCATTATTTTGAACCCGCTTTTCAACGAAATACTCAAATTGCTTCCTAAACTTCCAATATGTGGCAGGATTAGCATCAAAATATTCAACTTCCACATTGGGGAGGTCCAGCTGACAACCGACTTCAAAGTGCTGATCAGTGACAACAGGAAAGGATTTGTACTCATTTGTGGAAGCCCGATATCCTTCGTTAGTATTACTGTGCCCTTCACAACCTTCCTATGCGTTATCAGATGGTTCTAGCAACCGGTTAACAGACCCTGTCATAGGCAGCAGTACGCGACTGTAACGCTTCAGTTCCACTTCATCCATCAACTGTTTTTCTTCCATTCTACTCATTTCAATGCAATATTAGAGGGATCGGAGTCCCTACTAACTCTACTACTGTCCCTAGTACTATGACTAACCGGCAAACCAGAGTGGCAATTAAGATCGTCCTCGGCAACAATAAAGATTTCAATTTGCCGATTTTCATCAAACTTCCCAGCGTAATGCCGTGCTGATCTTCTTTTTGACGGCATCGTCCAAGATCCGAATATAGTACCAGTAGTCCTGTGTTGTCAAACACTGTTACCGATAAATCGGCAGTGGATTCAAGCAACGCGTAAGACACCCTGATTAAATCAGAATTCAAGGCCAGGAGTGCGCTACGGTGCTATTTTTACAAAGGGTTAGGACAACAAATTATATACTGACCTCCACAATATTCAACAGAAATGTGCAATAGCTCTGTTCTCAAATTAACAACTGACGTCAAATGAGACAAAATGCCGGCAACAGTTAACTGACATCCAGTCAGTTACATAAGAGACTAAACCATTCAATCAGACGCGATTTAAAGCAAAACGATCGATGGTTCTTTCAAGTTAGCCGCAAAAATGTCAGCGGATGAGAGTCTGGGGCAGCGAAACAAGGGAATAGGAAAGGGACTTGTGGCATGCGACAGACTGTGATCTGTCCTTTACACTAGGTCACAGTCGCTGTGATGATCTGTGCGTATGAGCTGCGCGATAATTTTCAGCAGAGGTAACAAATATCTGCCCCCACATTGCCTGCTTTATACAGTTTAGGAATAAAGGGAAAACTTGATGCATCCTCATTCAAAGTGAATTGGGCAAGTTCCCTTATTCATTGGACCGCTTGCCTATACTACTCGTTTGTATGTAGGAGCAATAGTAGCAGTCGTAGTAGAAGTAATTTCAGGACTCTAGTAATAGACATAGAGCCTACAGAGGATTAAAATTCAGTGGAAACGCTTCTTTTTTGGGATAATGTTTAGTATATATGTACTGGAACATCAATTAAAGCTGAAATGGATGTGAAATAAGCATGATGGAGCGATGGATTAAGCACATGTAAAGAAACACATTCTTAACAAACCCCGTAGGTAAAAACTGAAAAAAATTAATGCATCAAGAAAATGGTATCGGCAGGCTCTAGGTTTATGCCACATGTGCATGCAGTTTGGTTAATTTATGCTTTGTCCCAATAAATTGGGTTTCAATCATGTACTGCATGTGATGTAATGCAACCTCAGATTGAGTTTTGAATCCCCTCAAGGTGTGAGAATATATGATGGAACTTGGAAGAGAGTTCCGCGGCTGCCATTCACAGCCTTCAGACTTGTTGTACTGTATGGCAGACTTCAACTTGTGGCATCTCGGTGAAACGTTGTAGTTGAGTTTTAATGAGATTCAGCGTGGGTGCTTGGAGCCTGTTGTATACGTAAGGTCAAAACGCACGAGCAAGTTAAAAGGTCATTCTGATAAACGGACTGCTGTAATCTGATCAATGTCTAACTGGGTGAGTACATAAAAGTGTCACAAGGAGAATGATGAACCAATAGGGAAGCAGAGAATTGGACGCTTTGTGTATGTGTGTGTGTGTCTGGAGTTGTGTGCACCTGTCTGTTTAGACTAGGTCAAGAATGCTGACAGAATACACAACAGAGCCCTTGAGGACCTGCTACATCAACATAAGGTCAGCTTGCAGACGACGATATTGTCAAATGAAAACTATTATGACCTTCAGT